TCAGCTTAGGGTGCCGGTTCGTGTCGACTTCAAAGAACCGGTGGCTCAATCATGGCTGGCGTGGACAGGTGACGAGTCCACAGGCAAGTGTCATCATGGCCTTATCCATCTACTCAATGCTCGTTTCCTGTCATTTGCATTAGATGTGCCGATTACCACACTTCATAATGACTTGCCTAACACTGAATGACACCTGCAATGATGATAGCAAATTTATTATTATCAGCCATGAGCATACCCATGGGTCTTCAGGAGAAGAACATAGCTAAGATTACTACATTAATGCTTATCCATATTTCATAATAGCTCATTAATGATTGGAAAGATATCATCATTAGCCATGAGCATATCTATGCACGAGAAGAATATAGCTGAGATTACTATATTAATATTTATCCATGTATCATATCTTGGGCTGGACTGGGGAATATTGCCTCGTGTCGATGTCTCAGACATTCATCTCTTCGTCAAATGACGGCAGATGAACGTCTAGTGATGACAGCACCTTGTCTTTGATGAAAAATCGGGATAGTATGATGGAGCGACCGATGAACGACCAGTTGCTACCATTTCGGAATGGTGTAAAAGGTTGAAGCTATCTCAGGCTAATAGTGTCGGAAAGACACCTCTATGAATAGACTTAGTGGAGTGCTCTTGCCCTAGGACTCTAGCGGAGTCCAAGTCCGCCAGGAGCCCTGGGCCAGAGCACCTTCTACGGAGAGCACCTTCCGGGTGCTCCTAACAATAATAGCTCGCTAATGATAGGAAAGATATTATTATTAGCTATAAACATACTTATAGTTCAAGACAAGAATACTATATCCAAGATCACGATATTAATGCTTACCTATGTTTCATAGTAGCTCACTAATAATAGTAGAATTATTATTATTAGCTATAAGTATACCTATAGATCTATATAAGAAGGATATAATTATAATCATTATATTAATAATTATCTTTCTTTATAATAGCTATCTTTGAATATAATATCTTTCTCGCTAGCTAATATTAGTGCACGTATTAGGGGTACCCGTGGAAGGTGCCTCTAGCCTAGGGCTCCTAGCGTGCCTTGCGGCAGCCACCGGCCGATCTATTGGCCATTATCAAGGATCTCGACACAAGATTACGCGACTGGCATGATTCTTTGCCGCCCATCTACCAGTGTGATCCAATGCATCTACCCAGACGTCTTCCGCATGAATCACATCAAAATAGCATCATCTTTGCCTCATGCGTATTCAACAGCGATCTCATCCTGATACATCGACCTTTTACCTATCATTGGAACCGAGTCAAACATGACCCCGTCGTTGACGCTCAAGGTCCGGTAAGCACCGCCATTGTTGCCGATTCTGCTCGGAACATTCTCAGAGCCATTGAAGGCATCACAGTTACGGCTGCTATGCCGGTGTGGTACGTTCACCCCTTCCGACAGCGCCTACAAATGGTGAATTCTAAGTCAAGGATTTTTCAGGCTCGCCGTCTATTTCCCTCTTGTTGGCCTTATCAACCTGTTTCTCCATGTCGTCCAGAACCCGCTTTCTTCAGCGACAAAATCAGACATCGCCCTCATGGACGTTGTCGTTGGTCACTTTAGCTACCTCGACTTCGCGAGCGGCTCCGAGTTGGGCACACAGTTTCCAAGAGAAGTCGTGGCCTATGCTAGGGAGGTCACTACGCGTGCTCGCCTCGCTTCAGACAGCACTCATCCTTCAGACAGCTCACTAGAGCATGAGAATCTAGTTTTCGGATGAGCGGACCTCGCAGGAGATCAAGATACACGACTTCTGGATGCACGATATCTTTGGCATCGGGTCAGCGGATCCAAGTCCCGACTACTTCATGTCTAGCGTAAGTGGAGGAAACCTAGGAGACCTGCGGTATAAGCAGGCCCAAGATGGAGCTAATATCATAGTTTGGCGTAGGATGTTCCACCCGACTTACACAACTTCCTGGTTCAAGCATGGCCTTCTTTCCTTCCGCCTTGAAAGTTATTTATAGCTCTACTATATAATATCTTTTATAGGCATGTCTAGAAGGTAGGAGGAGGAATAAGGCCCGGGAGATACGGATGTCGCCGAGGTTTAGGAACGTCTCTATAGTACTGTTACGACCCAGGTACAATCCCAAGGATGTGTAGACTGGATAGAGGGTGGTGTATGCTAGCAGTTCGCCCTGGGCGATAGAACAGAACAATACTCAGCGGATGTCGTCGTGCTTGTCGGGTTGTCGTAAAGCGTTGCGCTTCTTCACTGTAAGCCGAAGGAGGTTTCCAATGAAGACTTAAATTGATCACTGTCGTGAATCTAACTGTCCCAACCGGCCATCGGGCACTTGCTTAAGTACCCGAGGCCCATCCCTGGATCACCCAGGCTGGTGATCCATTCTGGCGATGTTGTTGGTCAGTTGGATCATGGCTCACTGCGCTCCATGAGCCCTTGGCTCATGGCTCACGGTGATCCAAGCTCCATACGTAATTGGCTAGATACAGTGGGGCCCTGAGGTCGCCTTATCGGTGGCCCGATAAGCCTGACCCTGGTCGGAATGACCTGCTCCCTGAGCTGGGCGTTACAAGTACTCTCTGTGGCCTCGATCTACTTCTTGAGGACTTGAATGGTTATCTAGCGGTTCTCTCCGTTCTTAGTGCTTAGCTTATAGCAGGGATTAATAAAGCGGCCGTCCATTCACTAGCCATGGCTGTCATGCCTGTCCTCGTTCGGCCCGCCGCCTTCGATATCTCCACGCTTTAGTATTATTTCCTTGTTTAGCTTGGGTAACTAAATTCCCTTAAACCTTATCCCCCCGGCCTCCCTTACCCCGTCTCGACTTTACGTCTATTAGTATCTCTTAAGGCTGGATAGGAATGTAGACTTTGGTAGGCCGCTATACGTCGGGTTTAAGCTTCTATACTTCGTATATAATTACCTATCTCGAATAAAGGGCGTTGAGGTCGGCCCTCCCAGCTGCCCTCCTGACCAGTCAGAACATCGCCCCCGGCTCGGTCAGCGGTGACACCTTCATCCACGACCCGACTGTTGTTAAGACCCCTAGCGGAGGTTACCTCGCCGCCTTTACCGCCGATAACGTCGGTCTTAAGACGTCCACCGACCGCACCCGCTAGCGCGACGCCGGCTCGGCCTTCCCGAACGGCGCGTCCTGGACTACACCCTATACTAAAAGCGAGAAGAACCTCTGGGCGTCCGACCTGTCCTACCGCGACGGCCTCTACCACCTCTACTACAGCGCCTCGAGCTTCGGCACCTCGCGGTCCGCTATCTTCTACGCCACGTCGCCCACCGGCGCCTCGGGCTCCTGGACCGACAAGGGCCTCGTCATCGAGTCCTTCGAAAACTCCAATTAGAACGCCATCGACCCCAACATCATTACCGACGCCGAGGGCCGTATATGGATGTCTTTTGGCTCCTTCTGGTCCGGCATCAAGATGATCCGCATCGACCCACGCACCGGCAAGCGTATGGGCTCCGACTTTCACTCCCTCGCTTCCCGCCCTGCTAATGGCGGCGCCGTCGAGGCCCCTGTTATCGTCTACCGCAACGGATACTACTTCCTCTGGGTCTCCTTCGACAGCTGCTGCAAGGGCG